GTGTAGTAGTGTATAGTGTAGTAGTGTATAGTGTAGTAGTGTATAGTGTAGTAGTGTATAGTAGTGTATAGTGTAGTAGTGTATAGTGTAGTAGTGTATAGTGTAGTAGTGTGTAGTAGTGTATAGTGTAGTAGTGTATAGTTTAGTAGTGTGTAGTAGTGTATAGTGTAGTGTATAGTGTAGTAGTGTATAGTGCAGTAGTGTATAGTGTAGTGTATAGTGTAGTAGTGTATAGTGTAGTAGTGTATAGTAGTGTATAGTGTAGTAGTGTATTGTAGTGTATAGTGTAGTATTGTATAGTGTAGTAGTGAATAATGTATAGTGTTGTAGTGTATAGTGTAGTAGTGTATAGTATAGTAGTGTATAGTGTAGTAGTGTATAGTGTATGGTAGTGTATAGTGTAGTAGTGTATAGTAGTGTATAGTGTAGTGGTGTATAGTAGTGTATAGTGTAGTAGTGTATAGTGTAGTGTATAGTGTAGTAGTGTCTTGATTTGAAGCTTTCGTGACTGCAGGAATTCATACTCTTTGGTTCTTTCGGTAAAGTCACGTGGGTAGAAAAATAACTAATAGATCACGACGTTTCGATCGCAACACAAGCCATCATCTTCAGGTGAAACAACACAGCAGGCGGACTGCTGAGACAGGAAGGAACGTAGGGAGAGAATTACTGCAGCCAAATGTTATCTAGGTTTGTGGTGGGTACAACCCAAGGGTAAGTGGGCGGGGCTAGGGATGGAATTTGCAAGTAAATGTAGGATCGCAGAGCTCGCATACCTTGGCTAATCCGAGGGGGGGGGGGAGAGGGGAGGGGCAGCCGTAATGGGCGAGAGGATGGGGTGAAATTTACAGAGGGAAAGAGGTGAGAGAGAGAAACGTTTCAAATCAAGATTGAACCGCCTCTACGGGGAGGATTTCCCCACAACTCAGACACGACTTCAACCGAGAAGATGGATGCAAACTTGAGCAATCCTTGGAAGGACGTTCATCAACCGGGTAAAGTGTTCGCTGTTGTGTTGGCCGACTCTCTGAGTTGCATTACATTTATCCCCTTCCCTATAGTAGTGTAGTGTATAGTGCAGTGTATAGTGTGTAGTGTAGTGTGTAGTGTATAGTGCAGTGTATAGTGTAGTAGTGTAGTGTGTAGTGTATAGTGTAGTGTATAGTGTAGTAGTGTAGTGTGTAGTGTATAGTGCAGTGTATAGTGTGTAGTGTAGTGTGTAGTGTATAGTGTAGTGTATAGTGCAGTGTATAGTGTGTAATGTAGTGTGTAGTGTATAGTGCAGTGTATAGTGTGTAGTGTAGTGTGTAGTGTATGGTGCAGTGAATAGTGTGTAGTGTATAGTGTAGTGTATAGTGTAGTGTGTAGTGTAGTGTGTAGTGTATAGTGTAGTGTATAGTGCAGTGTATAGTGTGTAGTGTATAGTGCAGTGTATAGTGTGTAGTGTAGTGTATAGTGTAGTGTATAGTGCAGTGTATAGTGTGTAGTGTAGTGTGTAGTGTATGGTGCAATGTATAGTGTAGTAGTGTAGTGTGTAGTGTATAGTGTAGTGTATAGTGTGTAATGTAGTGTGTAGTGTATAGTGCAGTGTATAGTGTGTAGTGTAGTGTGTAGTGTATGGTGCAGTGAATAGTGTGTAGTGTATAGTAGTTTAGTGTATAGTGTAGTGTATAGTGTAGTGTATAGTAGTTTAGTGTATAGCGTAGTGTATAGTGTGTAGTGTATAGTGCAGTGTATAGTGTGTAGTGTAGTGTGTAGTGTATAGTGTAGTGTATAGTGCAGTGTATAGTGTAGTAGTGTAGTGTGTAGTGTATAGTGCAGTGTATAGTGTAGTAGTGTAGTGTGTAGTGTATAGTGTAGTGTATAGTGTAGTAGTGTAGTGTGTAGTGTATAGTGCAGTATATAGTGTAGTAGTGTAGTGTGTAGTGTATAGTGTAGTGTATAGTAGTGTAGTGTATAGTAGTTTAGTGTATAGTGTAGTGTATAGTGTAGTGTATAGTAGTTTAGTGTATAGTGTAGTGTATAGTAGTGTAGTGTATAGTAGTGTAGTGTATAGTAGTTTAGTGTATAGTGCAGTGTATAGTGTAGTAGTGTAGTGTACAGTGTAGTAGTGTATAGTGTAGCAGTGTAGTATATAGTGTAGTGTACAGTGTAGTAGTGTATAGTGTAGTAGTGTATAGTAGTTTAGTGTATAGTGTAGTAGTGTATAGTAGTGTAGTGTATAGTAGTTTAGTGTATAGTGTAGTGTATAGTGTAGTAGTGTAGTGTACAGTGTAGTAGTGTATAGTATAGCAGTGTAGCATATAGTGTAATGTACAGTGTCGTAGTGTATAGTGTAGTAGTGTATAGTAGTTTATATTCTTAGGTTTTTTCGGTAAAGTCACGTAGGTAAAAAACATTAAAAAGTAAAATAAAATAAAAATCACGACGTTTCGGAGGCAACACAAGCTTCCGTCTTCAGGTGGTACCGTCACAGCCACGACAGCTGCATCAGCTGTATCGGCGTGACGAGCGAGCGAGCGACACAAATTTCAATCCATCTGTGCGGAGTCGGTGAGCGTCGGGTCATTGATGATGGGGATGATTTTACCGTTCCTGTGGGGGGGGGGGGGGGGGGGGGGGGTGATGCCACGAAGGAACGTCCGCTGCGGAGACGGAGTGGCGAGATCGGCTCGATTAGTTGGTCCGCCGAGTCTCCGCGAGCCGCGTGGCAACGCGAGAGGCCTTCGCCCGGCAGCGGATTGACCGAGGAGTTGCAAATGATTCGGACTATTCTTGATTCTGGTCACATCGTCATCAATCCACGCTGTCTCTCCCTCTCTTCCTCGTTCTCCTGGTGCTCAATCCACGCTGTCTTTCTCTCTCTTTTTTCTTTCTTTTTTTTTACGATCAGTGGAAACAAGAAGATGCTCGGTGTATTCGGCACTTTGTTTCGTTCATCATTTCGTAAAATGTTTTTTTTTTTGTTTAACAGGGCTTTATGTAACCCTCGCTCGCTCGCTCTCTCGCTCGCTCTCTCGCTCGCTCACTCGTTCTGTCGCTCATTCTCTCGCTCACTCTCTCGTTCTGTACGTAGCCCCCCCTCGCAGTCCGACGGCCTCCGACGGGTAGCTCATAACAGCATGCAGAGCTCCCCGTCATCTGCCACCGAGCACATGGCCTCCTCCCTCTCTCTCTCTCTTCTCGCCTCCCTTCACTGGAACAGACTTCGCATGAAGCGGTCACATTGGCTCGCTAAAGTTTCCGCTCCTCACTCAGAACTCACTTCAAGGTACCCCGAGCTCACCACCACGCGAGCCCCCCTTAATCTCCCCCCCACCCCCCATAACCACCGCCACCACCGCTGTTCTCTCTTCACATTCCCATTATGTGGCTCTCACTCATTCATTCCATTCCATTCATCATTCACTGCCATCAATTTCTCTTTCACCGAATCATCGCATCATCATCATCATCACAGATTCGCCCCCATCGTCTCCTCTAATCAATTGCATTCGCCTCATCTCCATCCATTACGTTTACGCATTGTTGTTGTTGTTAATTCTGTGTAAAGAGACTTGGTTACATCGCTACGTAAATTCCGTTAAGGTAAGATGAGATTTACGAGGCTCAGGATGTTTATAACATTCTGGATCAATAACAGCAGCAACAACCGTTGGTAATTTTCACGACGGGATATTAACGCCGACATAGATCACATTTGAGTCGTTCAAAGCCAACAGCAGAAATGCGGCTGTCACAATTGAATCATCTTGGAGAGAATGTTCAAGTCCACGTCAATTGCCCCCCCGCAGGCAGGCTTCTTGATGTTGAGCGCAGCTCTTCAAATCGGTCGTGAGAAGCCTCGCCGCCTTCACCGATGAGCACCAGAAGGAGCTTCATCGCTCAGAATCTGATCCATAAATAATAAAAATAATAAATTGTGTCAACGTGACAAACATTGTTCAGGTGGTGGAGGGTTTAACGACACACATATCGGCATAGAGCTTCGACCGCGTGTGGCCGAACCCGACATGGAACATGGATCGCCTCGTATTGGCGACCAAAGTCTTCGTTTAAAACATTGATACTGGTAGGAACCTCCTGCTTACACCAGCCCACAGGGGATTATTGTGTCCGTCCGTCCGTCGTGCAAGGAGGGGCTGGGTGGGGAGGGAGAGGCTGGGTGGGGAGGGGAGGGTGGGGAGGGGCTGGGTGGGGAGGGTGGGGCTGGGTGGGGAGGGGCTGGGTGGGAAGGGTGGAGAGGGGCTGGGTGGAGTGGGTGGGGAGGGGCTGGGTGGGGAGGGTGGGGAGGGGCTGGGTGGGGAGAGTGGAGAGGGGCGGGGTGGGGAGGGTGGGGCTAGGTGGAGGGTGGGGATGGGTGGGAAGAGGCTGGTCACCGCGTGGTGCCCTTATAAAACTCAACGTTTAACCTACTCACGCCGGCTTGTGCCCGCCCTCACAGTCGGGAATATTTGCGGAATCCACCACGCCGCCGTTGACCCTGCAGGCCATTGACCGAGCAACCCAACGTTCCTCTACCAGCTCCCTCCGCAGGAATGTGTTATAATTATTATGACCAGCTCGCGGTAGGCAAACCATCACAAACAAATCTGCCCAACGAAGTCCCGGCTAAGTTGGTGCATGTTGGTGCATGTTGGGGTATATGAGTCGAACGACCTTCACAGCCCCGGAGAAGCCAGTGGTAGAAATGCCACGTTCTTATGGCCGGGGGCGAGTCCATCCAAAGCACAACCAGCGGGTCCATCTTCCCCACAAAGTTGTAATTGTATTAATAAATCTTCACCACCATCTCCTGTGGAGTGTGTGAACCTGCCGATCGCGAGTGGCGCCTTCTGCTCGCCCGAGTCACGTGGGCCGGGAGGACGGACACCGCACGGAGCTCTGTCGGGCCGTTGTCGGTCTGGGAGGCCCCAAAACGGCTGAACGGATGAACCAAAAGGTCCCGAAACGCGCACTTTGAGTCTTCACAGTTGAACAGTTTATTGAGAATTGCCCCGTTGAGCTAAGACGCTCTTGAATCTGGTTTCATGAACAAAACGGAAAAAACTGTTAAAATTATGAATGCAATAAATACAGCAATGAAAAATAGTCAACAAATGAAAAAGGTTATTTAAATATTAATTTAATATTCAAACTAAAGCGAACATTAAGATTAGAGAAACATACTACCTATTAGTGCATCTAGATTGAGGACTAAGATTGGATGAAACATTTCAAACAAGGGAATGGAAACGCCTTTGGTATAATAATTTCCCGAAGCAAACAACACGTTTCAAGTGACACTCACGAGTACAATCTTGACTTAAAGCTTTCGTGACTGCAGGAATTCATATTCTTTGGGTCTTTCGGTAAAGCCACGTAGAGAGAGAAAATAAGTATAACCCGTAAAAACAAAGTTTTTCACTATAAATCCTTTATATGCGTGGCAGCGAACTTAATATAAAGGATTTAAAAATATATTCGCCTGTGGAGGACGCGGGGATCGATCCCGCGACCTTTGGCATGGGAAGCGAGGGCGCTACCAACTGCGCTACTCCGCCACGGCCTGTGAAGGGGTTACGCTCTGGGCTCTTATACTGTGACGTTCAGCCAAAGCAATGAATGAGTTCTATTTGAATATATGTAAAATACATTTTTTTTGCCTAAAAAGTGTAAAATTTTGGGAATTTTTTTTTCACGAACATTAATTGTCTGGCACAACGAGTCTGTGTGGAAAATGTCAACTCGATTGGATCACGGGAAGTGGGTTAAAAAACGACCGAAAGATTTGCACGGTCGTAAGCAAGCAAGCACGCAAGCAAGCAAGCAAGCGAATTTAATATAAAGGATTTAAAAAACACTACAAATATCACGACGTTTCGATCGCAACGCAAGCAATCGTCATCAGGTGAAACAATTAGCGAGAGAGCTGCTGAGGCAGGATGCTGTCACTCGTAAATCCACTTTGTAACACGAGTTTTGTCCCTGGGTCGTGTTATTTTCTAATTGCTTATGCCTCTAAAGTACAGAAAACGGCCATTGTTATTCACCACAAACTTTGCTTTTGTGACCAGGACTTGACGTGAAGGAATGGCACAAATGCACACCGCGTTTTGTCATTGACAATCGGTACATTTAAAAATATCACCGTCCCCGCACATCTCATTGGCTCGCAAGTGACGACATCACAGGGCAGCCCCCCCCGCCCCCCACACACACAGTGCATATGCTGAGGGTTGCTTTGACCGTACTTAACCGCACTTTGCCGAAGATGCGTTCAGAGGCTGCTATAAATTTCCGCGCGACAAGCCACTTCGTCGGGCCACCATTAGTGATGGACAGGCGGTCGCTTCTGAAAAGGAGCTACACCGCTCAGTAGGCCTCACCTGGTAAAATAACAAGTATAACCCGTAAAAACAAAGTTTTTCACTATAAATCCTTTATATGCGTGGCGGCTAGAGTCCTCTCGTCCTCTGGCTTGAGATGGCTGCCACCTATGGGTCAGATGATTTTCTGCCAGTATTAAGCAATTGGTAATTAAATATTTAATTTGTTTTCCCTAAAAGTGTAAAATTTTTGGAAAAAAATTTTCACGAACATTAATTGTCTCGCACAACGAGTCTGTGTGCAAAATGTCAGCTCGATTGGATCATGGGAAGTGGGTTAAATAACGACCGAAAGATTTGCACGGTCGTAAGCAAGCAAGCAAGCACGCAAGCACGCAAGCAAGCGAACTTAATATAAAGGATTTAAAAAAGTTCATGATAATTGGGTTTTTGCCCTATTATCTGGCAACAAAACTGACACCTTTTATTTTTACAAGGAGTCATGTTTGCATTGTTTGCATTACGACTGCAGGTATTGTGGTCTATGCAAATATGACTCCTTGTAAAAAAAGTGTCGGTTTTGTTGCCAGATAGAAGGGTAAAAAACAATTATCATATTTTTTCTTCTGGCAAATGAGGTTCCAATGGTGTAAATGCTTACCCCGAGCTCTCATACTCTGATGGTGCATTGTCTTTGAGTTGTGCGCCTTTTGGCGTCATCTGGTCCAACACCATGTGAGACTAGGCTCTAAGGAAAGCTGTCTCGGGTGTGGACCAATCAACTTCAAGGACAGTGCATACATTATCAGAGTTGTGTTTTTTGTTTGCATTATGACTGCAGGTATTGTGGTCTATGCAAACATGACTCCTTGTAAAAAAGGTGTTGGTTTTGTTGCCAGATAAAAGGGTAAAAAACAATTATCATATTTTTTCTTCTGGCAAATGAGGTTCCAATGGTGTAAATGCTTACCCCGAGCTCTCATACTCTGATGGTGCATTGTCTTTGAGTTGTGCGCCTTTTGGCGTCATCTGGTCCAACACCATGTGAGACTAGGCTCTAAGGAAAGCTGTCTCGGGTGTGGACCAATCAACTTCAAGGACAGTGCATAAATTATCAGAGTTGTGTTTTTTGTTTGCATTATGACTGCAGGTATTGTGGTCTATGCAAACATGACTCCTTGTAAAAAAGGTGTTGGTTTTGTTGCCAGATAAAAGGGTAAAAAACAATGATCATATTTTTTCTTCTGGCAAATGAGGTTCCAATGGTGTAAATGCTTACCCCGAGCTCTCATACTCTGATGGTGCATTGTCTTTGAGTTGTGCGCCTTTTGGCGTCATCTGGTCCAACACCATGTGAGACTAGGCTCTGAGGAAAGCTGTCTCGGGTGTGGACCAATCAACTTCAAGGACAGTGCATAAATTATCAGAGTTGTGTTTTTTGTTTGCATTATGACTGCAGGTATTGTGGTCTATGCAAACATGACTCCTTGTAAAAAAGGTGTTGGTTTTGTTGCCAGATAAAAGGGTAAAAAACAATTATCATATTTTTTCTTCTGGCAAATGAGGTTCCAATGGTGTAAATGCTTACCCCGAGCTCTCATACTCTGATGGTGCATTGTCTTTGAGTTGTGCGCCTTTTGGCGTCATCTGATCCAACACCATGTGAGACTAGGCTCTAAGGAAAGCTGTCTCGGGTGTGGACCAATCAACTTCAAGGACAGTGCATAAATTATCAGAGTTGTGTTTTTTGTTTGCATTATGACTGCAGGTATTGTGGTCTATGCAAACATGACTCCTTGTAAAAAAGGTGTTGGTTTTGTTGCCAGATAAAAGGGTAAAAAACAATTATCATATTTTTTCTTCTGGCAAATGAGGTTCCAATGGTGTAAATGCTTACCCCGAGCTCTCATACTCTGATGGTGCATTGTCTTTGAGTTGTGCGCCTTTTGGCGTCATCTGGTCCAACACCATGTGAGACTAGGCTCTAAGGAAAGCTGTCTCGGGTGTGGACCAATCAACTTCAAGGACAGTGCATAAATGATCAGAGTTGTGTTTTTTGTTTGCATTATGACTGCAGGTATTGTGGTCTATGCAAACATGACTCCTTGTAAAAAAGGTGTTGGTTTTGTTGCCAGATAAAAGGGTAAAAAACAATTATCATATTTTTTCTTCTGGCAAATGAGGTTCCAATAGTGTAAAAAAGTTCATTTTCGAGGTTTTTTTTTTCTAGTCGCCCATCCGGCGCCTGTCCAGGCCCCCTGGGCGGGTGCCTGCTGAGCTTCCTGTCAAGATTAGGCGCTCAGCTCCCGCGTGATTGAACTTCGTTCGAATTGGAACGTCTCAAAAGCTGCCCGTCAGAGTCGTACCTTTCGGGTGGCTTCCCCGCATCGACGATGAGTCGGGGCCAACTCATTCGCGTGGGACGAGAATACGGAGAGGAAAAGCCGCGCATGACACGCATTTCTGGGTAGACGGATCGTGATGATTTGCGCTTAATGATTACATTCATACCGGCGGTGGCCCTAGCGGTGGCCTGCACGCTCAGAGGTCAGAGCGATGAGTTGCCACCGCTAAGACCCTGGATTCGATTCGGTACAGCCAAACCGTGGTTAAACCGGGTTCTCAGTTGCAGTGCTTTCAGGGTCCTAGCCCCGTTGCCAAAGACTCGCGTAGAGACCCCCCCCCCTCCCCCGCGCCGTAGACTCACGCAGAGCCAAACAAACTCACGGAGGGAGATTTCGATTTAAAGCTTTCGTGACTGCAGGGATTCATCTTCTTGGTTCTTTCGGTAAAGTCACGTAGAAGGGAAGAACAGGTCTGTCGGAAAGACAGCGTCTGAATGACGCTGTCTTTCCGACAGACCTGTTCTTCACCTGAGGACGGCTGCTTGCGTTGTGGCCGAAACGTCGTGAGAATTGTATTTTATTATGTTTTATTTTTATTATTTTATTATTTCCCTTCTACGTGACTTTACCGAAAGAACCAAGAAGATCACGGAGGGAGCCGCAGACGAACACAGACCGAGTTGAATTCAACCGGGTTCTCAGTTGCAGGGTGCGTCGTGGGTCCTAACTGCGTCACCGGAGACTTTTGTTGCGAGCCCACCGTGATGCGTTGAGCGTCGCACTTCAACTTGAGCTTCGTTGCCAAACCACGGTGGCGCTTAAGGGCGAAGCGCCGTGCGTGAACCCGGCGCAGCCCATCGACAAAGCAATAGCGTCGTGGCTGTGAGGGCGGGGAAAAGGAAAAGAAACGAAATCCCATCGACGGCTCTCCCCGTGAATCGATAAATTAGGCGACCCTGTCGACAGACGCTCCGCCAACACACGGAACGGGGGTGGGGGGGGGGGAGTGTGTAGCGGGGCAGGGTCGCGGCAGCGCAGTCGCCAACGCTCGCGCGGCCTCGCAGCAAGAAGGGACCTGGGTTCGACTCCAGACTCGGGCGCCCGTTCTGCGCGAGATGTTGTCGCGTTCTCCCCGCGTTCTGCGACGGGTTTCCTTTGCGACCTCCGCTTTCTCACCCGTGGTTTCGGCATTTGGCCAAACGTCCAAAATTCTGAAAAAAAACCCCAAAAATCAACACTGCAAGCTGCTCACCTCGGGATTATCATCGTATTGTTGATGTTGTTGTTGTTACGTTCATAGCCCCTTACCGGCCATCTGTGAAAGAAGAGTTCCATAGCTCATCCGACTTCTCCTTGGCAGGATCCTCGTGAATCAGCCTCCTGTTAGTCAGCGAGGCCTTCCCTAGTAAACTAGCGTACAGAAAATACACCAACAGACAATAAATAAACTTTAACCCCCTCTCTTCACCTCTCGATGTAAGACCGAAACAGCAGGTGGATTTAGCCACATCTGTGTGGCTGTCGCCTGATGATGCCGGTTGTTGTAATTACCGGCAAAGCGTCACGGCTACTCGGATTGTAAATGCTGTCGTGGGTTTACTCTCCAGCACAGCGGTGGTGCTGAACCAGTAACGAATTGGCCACGTGTTGTTCCCGTGACTCAACCTCACTAAGTGGCGGTGTCGGCTGGTGGTGGCGGGTTTGACGACACGTTCATATCTACGCCGTCTTACTCAAAACAAGAAACTTCTAATGTGGACCATAAATAAAGGAACATACGGTACGAGAGTAGACAGACCAAATAATACCGCATCTCCGTGAAAAACAAGACGAGGTTTTACCCTTCTTTGGCAATAAAACAGGAGTTGTGTTAAGATGTTTAAATACCAAATAGACGCAGCTGTTTTTTATGCAAGTACTGCATTGACCAGACGCAGTACTTGTGATAAAAACATGCATTGTCTTTGAAACTGATTGACCTATTGTATTTTGCGCTATCCATGACGGAGGTTTAATTACGGATAATATTGGTCGCGAAAGCTTTCGTGCGAAACAAAAATGCGCGCTGTATGCGGGGGGGAGGGGGGAGTGGTGGCGCAGCGGTTTGCTCACCACGCTGGCAGCCCGGACACCCGAGTTCGATTCCCGGCAATGCTGATTGTCGCCATTGGGCCATGCTCCAGATCTTCACAGACCTGCAACGTGAAGAACAGTTGAACCCCCTCTTAGTAGTGTAGTGTATAGTGTAGTGTATAGTAGTGTAGTGTATAGTAGTGTATAGTGTAGTGTACAGTAGTGTATAGTGTAGTGTATAGTAGTGTATAGTGTAGTGTATAGTAGTGTAGTGTATAGTAGTGTATAGTGTAGTGTATAGTAGTGTAGTGTATAGTAGTGTATAGTGTAGTGTACAGTAGTGTATAGTGTAGTGTATAGTAGTGTATAGTGTAGTGTATAGTAGTGTAGTGCCTCCATAGGGCCCAATGTGTTCGCTTACCGAACATTAGCCTGTTAACGACGGGCTGTTGTAGGTGCAGTAAATATTCAGTAATGCATTGATTAACCACGTTTATCGGCGATAACCCGACGAAGTGGCTTATCATGTGGAAATGTAATGCAGCCAAATACTTAAACAACACGTTGAGTCTAAATGTGGAGGCAAACCCCGAACGAATCCGCAGAAAAACCCACGCAACCACGGGGAGAAAGACACGGAAACTACAAATATACAGCAGCAGACGTCAGGGTCAGGATCGAACCCACGACCTCCTGCATACCAGGCGAGGTAGCTAACATCTCCTAGCCACCGTGATGATGATGAGAGGGAAACGCAAACTCCAAATATACAACAGGCGTCAGGGTCGGGATCAAACCCACGACCTCCTGTACACCAGGCGAGGTAGCTAACATCTCCTAGCCACCGTGATGATGATGAGAGACACACAGCCTCCAAATATACAGCAGCAGGCATCAGGGTCGGGATCGAACCCACGACCTCTTGCGTACCAGGCGAGGTAGTTAACATCTCCTAGCCACCGTGATGATGATGATGAGAGAAAGACACACAAACTCTAAATATACAGCAGCAGGCGTCAGGGTCGGGATCGAACCCACGACCTCCTGTATACCAGGCGAGGTAGTAAACATCTCCTCGCCACCGTGATGATGAGAGAGAGACACACAAACTCCAAATACAGCAGCAGGCGTCAGGGTCGGGATCGAACCCACGACCTCCTGCATACCAGGCGAGGTAGTTAACATTTCCTAGCCACCGTGATGATGAGAGAGAGATACATGCAGACTCCAAATATACAGCAGCAGGCATCAGAGTCGGGATCGAACCCACGACCTCCTGCGTACCAGGCGAGGTAGTTAACATCTCCTAGCCACCGTGATGATGAGAGAGAGACACCTCCAAATATACAGCAGCAGGCGTCAGAGTCAGGATCGAACCCACGACCTCCTGCGTACCAGGCGAGGGAGTAAACATCTTGCAGGGCTGCGCCTTGACCTCCTTTTACTCTTACTTTAACACCGGCGCACAGATTAAAGGAGAAATGGCAGCGCACGTCACACGGTAACATTTGACGAAGGGTGCGGAGATGGAGGAGGGGGAGAGAGTGGAGAGAGAGTGGAGAGAGAGCCAGATGAAAGAGAGAGCGAAAGCGGGCGAGAGACAGCGGGTGTGTGTAAGAGAGAGAGACGGAGCGAGTGAGTGAGAGACAGAGCGAGAGGAGAGCGAGAGAACACGAGAGACAGAGCGAGAGAGAGAATCATATGATGAAGATAGAGTGGTGGTGGTGGGGGGGTGGGGGGGGTTAAGCCAGGCGAGCACGGCAGAATGGATGAGGAGGATGGCTCAGGCATAGCAATGAAGCTCCCGGACGCTCCGATTAACTTCGCTGCGTGCCATTCCCTGGCGGCTGCTACAAAACCCGGGCACGTCTGTGTCTCGACCTCCGCGTCGTTCGCGATGACGGGAGGGGGCGCGGGGGGGATATAAACTCTGGGTGGGATCATCTCAGACAAAATACATGGAACAAATAGACACATTTTGTTGGTGGATTCTCATAATAGAGTTTTTTTTTTGGGGGGGGAGGGGTTAGATCGCTGTAAATATATAAATGTGTCGCTAAACCCGCCACCACCCGACACGGCCAACTAGTGAGGGTTGTCACGTAAACAGAACGTGGCCAATTCGTCACTAGTACAGCACTAGTGTATAGTGAAGTGTATAGTGTAGTGTATAGTGTAGTGTATAGTGTAGTGTATAGTAGTGTATAGTGTAGTGTATAGTAGTGTAGTGTATAGTGTAGTGTATAGTAGTGTGTAGTATAGTGTATAGTGTAGTGTATAGTGTAGTGTATAGTAGTGTATAGTGTAGTGTATAGTAGTGTAGTGTATAGTGTAGTGTATAGTAGTGTATAGTGTAGTGTATAGTAGTGTAGTGTATAGTGTAGTGTATAGTAGTGTGTAGTGTAGTGTATAGTAGTGTAGTGTATAGTGTAGTGTATAGTAGTGTAGTGTATAGTAGTGTGTAGAGTAGTGTATAGTAGTGTATAGTAGTATATAGTGTAGTGTATAGTGTAGTGTATAGTAGTGTATAGTGTAGTGTATAGTAGTGTAGTGTATAATGTAGTGTATAATGTAGTGTATAGTAGTGTAGTGTATACTGTAGTGTATAGTAGTGTAGTGTATAGTGTAGTGTACTAGTACAGCACTAACCGGTGTGTTGGAGAGCCAAGCCACAACATTTACAATCTGAGTACGACGTTTCGCCAGTAATTACAACTAGCTTCATCAGGCGGCAGCCAGGATTGTAAATGTTGCGGGTTTACTCTCCAACACACCGGGGTGCTGTACTAGTATACTACACTATACACTACTATACACTACAGTATACACTACACTATACACTACACTACACACTAGTGCTGTACTAGTGACGAATTGGCCACGTTCTGTTTATGTGACAACCCTTACTAGTTGGCTGTTTCGGGTGGTGGGGGGTCTAACGACACATCTATATATATTTACGCGATCTAACCCAAAATATAACCCGTAAAAACAAAGTTTTTCACTATAAATCCTTTATATGCGTGGCGGCTAGAGTCCTCTCGTCCTCTGGCTTGAGATGGCTGCCACCTATGGGCCAGATGATTGCATTGCACCATTAAGCAATTGATAATTAAATATATTTTTGTCCTAAAAAATGTACAATTTTGGAAAAAAAATTTCACGAACATTAATTGTCACGCACAACGAGTCTGTGTGGAAAATGTCAGCTCGATTGGATCACGGGAAGTGGGGTAAAAAACGACCGAAAGATTTGCACGGTCCTAAGCAAGCAAGCGAACTTAATATAAAGGATTTAAAAAGCACCTGCATTATGGATTTTCCTTCTTAGGCCACGCACAGCGCCAGTGACGACACGTGCACTCCCTCGCCTGGTGCGCAGGAGGTCGTGGGTTGGATCCCACCCCTGACGCCTGCTGCTACTGCTGCTCTATATTTGGAGTCCGCGTGTTCACTCCCTGTAGATTTGTCTCCGGGTTCTGTTTTTTTCCCCTCCACATTTAGAATCAACGTCACATGACCACATTTTGAGAATAGGGTTTTCCCCTTTTTTCTGGCAACAAAACAGCTGTGTTAAGATGTTAAAACAACAAACTGAAGCCTTTTACAAGGAATCATGTTACTTGCATTAACCACAATCAGACGCTGTCTCACCGACAGACCTGGTCTTCACCTGAGGACGGCTGCTTGCGTTGTGGCCGAAACGTCGTGAGAATTATTTTTTTATTTTATTTTATTATTTCCCTCCTACGTAACTTTACCGAAAGAACCAAGAAGATGAATCCCTGCAGTCACGAAAGCTTTAAATCGAAATTTATCGTCTCGATGTTGTCCGTACAGCAGTTGGGGGCACATCGAGCATTTATAAAATGGTTAGTAAAACTTGATAACTCATTAAACCGTTTGTTACTTTTTGTGTAATTGTAACATATTGCCATCGTGAAATATACTGCTTTGAAATGGGGTCCATCTCTTTCAAACACCCTGTATGATTACATTTATTTTCTTTCTACGTGACTTTAACGAAAGAAGCAAAGAGTAATTCCTGCAGTCACTAAAGATTCAAATCACGTTTAGTAGAAATAATTTTATTTAACACCGAAATAAAGCACGGCAATTTTTTGTCATGCGCATTGTGGCGATTGCCAGACTTGTTTGTATGTAGTACGCTTTTTTAGTGTATAATGTAGTGTATGTAATAGTTAACACTGAAATCACGCTACATGGTGTCGGACCAGATCGGCCCGGGACCGCCGGATAATGTTGGAAGCAGCCGGATAATCGCGCGGTGCCGGATAATTGACGATCTTGTGAGGGCCAGCAATCCTCGACATTGCCATGTAGCTTCTGCCACATGCAAGCGTAGTTGCAGTCTCCGTGCAGTCAAAGTCTACGAAGCAAAGAGTGAACCCACTTGCGGTCTGTGTTCCTTTGATCGAAGGAAGAAAAGCGACGGCCTTCATTCTCTCCGCTGAAGCCCTGCCGGCCACGGCTAGAGGTTGATCGACAATTGGCATCGAGTTCCTGAGCGTACCGTGTGCTGCCACAAGCGCAGAAGGTGAATGCACAAAGTTAAACATCGCGAAGCCCGAGCCAATTTACGACGACTCCTCGACTTATGAACACTCGACTTATGAACACTCGACTTATGCTCTTTCAGAGATACGAACAAACCTGTCCCATATGTTCAGTTGCAGCTGCTCGGAACGAGAGTCGTAAGTTCAGCCGTCGCGCAATAGATGGTGGCGGTGACATCTACATCTGCAGAACGTGAAGAACCAGTGGCATCTACATCTGCAGAACGCGAAGAACCAGTGGCATCTACATCTGCAGAACACGAAGAATCAGTGGCATCTACATCTGCAGAACGCGAAGAACCAGTGGCATCTACATCTGCAGAACGTGAAGAACCAGTGGCATCTACATCTGCAGAACGCGAAGAACCAGTGGCATCTACATCTGCAGAACGTAAAGAACCAGTGGCATCTACATCTGCAGAACGCGAAGAACCAGTGGCATCTACATCTGCAGAACACGAAGAATCAGTGGCATCTACATCTGCAGAACGCGAAGAACCAGTGGCATCTACATCTGCAGAACGTGAAGAACCAGTGGCATCTACAT